CATGTGTGTATGTGTGAGTACACCTGTGTGCAGGCATGCAGTGGACATGTGTGTATATGTGAGTACACCCATGTGCAGGCATGCAGTGGACATGTGTGCATGTGTGAGTACACCCGTGTGCAGGCATGCACTGGACATGTGTGCATCCACATGTCTATTCATACAGGTTTGTATCGGTACATGTGGATATGTGTGCAAACACGTACACTTGTGTGTGCCACAGGGGGACAGGGTCACCCCATGTTTGTCCCATGTCCAGCCTCATGCTGCTGGTGGCTGCGGCCCATTAGCTCTGCAGGCCTTGTCCAGGGCAGATGCCCATCAGCAGTGGATGGGTGACCCTGTCCAGGGCGGATGTGCACGGAACTGCTCCTTCAGCCCAGCATTCTCTAGTTTCTGGTTGGCTCCCTCTCTGCCCCTCTTCCCTGCCCCTGGGGTAGGGGACAGGGGCTACTTATGGTCAGATCAGGGTCCTGAGTCCACCACCCACCATCCATCCTCCTGCCCACCTCCTCCCTGAGCATTGGCCCCTCTGTTTCTAGCCAGCAGCCAGCCAGCAGCCAGCCTTAATCTCCAAGAAGTGCTTGCTGCCAGTGCTGGAATGTTCTAGAACCTCAATCTGTGTCAGTGCCCTGGCCTCCAGCTCACGTGGAAAGGCTGAGGTAGTGACTGCTTGTGGCCACCGGATGTCACTCTAGCACAGTAAGGGACACCAGGGTGACCTTCACAGGGACTAGGGAGATGCCAGCCTGGACTTCTTCCTTAAGGACTTCTTTCCCACCCTGGGGTGGGGTGCTCTCAGCCAGCACAGAGCACAGAAGCCGGGCAGGTGTCATACTTGATGTAGGTAGGGGCAGTAAAGACAAAGGGACCTGTGTGCAGGTACCCCATCAGTGTCCACGCAGGGAGGGAAGGGCTGGGGCTCGCTGAGATTCTGGGGACAACCTCAAGAGGTCAGGGGCCTGACTGGCTTCCTGGAGCTGTGGTCCCTGCTGGACCATGACCAAACCACAGTGTCAGTCCCCTCTGTTAGCTGGTACCTGGCAGATGTCCTGGGTGAGGATGGACCGGGTGCACCATGCACCGTCCCACCTAGCAGGTGTGCTGGGGAGAGGGTGGATGGGGTGCACCTTGCACTGTCTGCCCCATGATGATGACTTTGGAATGTCATCTCCCTTTCCTTAGCTGACTCCTGTACAATACGCTCAACTTCACTGTCACCTCCTCCAGAAAGGCCTCCAGACTGCACTCCTGGTTTTGTTTAGTCTTTCACCTCCTCCAGAAAGGCCTCCAGACTGCACTCCTGGTTTTGTTTAGTCTTTTGCTCAAAGGCTGCAGTCTGTTGTCTAGTTCTGACCTCTTAGAGGTGTCCCAGGCCTGAGCCTCTGAGCTCCTGAGCCCCACTGGGCATAGCCAATGGGGTGGCCTGGCCCAGGCTGGCTGACCTCACCTGGCCCTCACCAAACCAGAGTTAAAGACTAAGTCATCTCAGCCCAGACAACCAAGTTCAGGTCTCAAAGAGCAGGTCCCCTGTAGGCCCCCAGCACTGTGCCCTCACCCCGTCCTCCAAGGCAGGTTGCCAGCCCCACCTCACCTTGAGGTCGTAGAAGATGATGTCCCCAAGCACCAGGTACACCTTCACATAGTACAGTGTCTCCTCGTCGAACTCCAGCGGCGAGCGGCACAGTGACAGGGCCTTGAGGTAGAAGTGCTCGGCCAGCTCGCCATGGCCCAGCCGGTGGTGCAGGGCGGCCAGCCGGTGGTAGGCCACTCGCTCATTCAGCTGGTCCCCTGGCACAGATGGTGGGAGGGGGGTGTGAGGCAGAGCCCCTTTGCTATGGGTTGGGGGCAGGCACAGGACAGAGTGGTGCTGGTTGTCACCCCAGGAACTTGGCCTGTCATGGCCCACTCGGGGACTCAGCTGTCTGTTTGTATAGTGAGCTAATGACACCACCCCAGCATTCCCAGGTGCTGCCCAAAGACTGTCCACCTGGAGCACTGGACGGGGTACCTGAGTCATCTGGGGGCACCCATGTAGGAAGACACCCTGGGTGTGGTGTGGCCTGGTTTCTGCTGCTGCTCAGGGATGCAGTCAGCAGAGCACGGGCATCTGCTTGTCCTTGCTCAGAGGACCCCAAACCCTGCCTGCTCCCCTCCAGTCCCTCCTGAACAGACAGGCATGCCCACAGGTCCTCCTGTGTGGTCAGTGCCTCCAAGTGGGTGCCTGTAGGATCTGGTCTCAGGTTGTAGGGGACTAGGTGTGAGAACACAGGAACTCTCAGCCATGGACTCAGGGTGCAGTGGATAGGCCCTGTTAGCCCCGTCCTCACAGTATGATATGCCTGGGTGCTGGGTCAGAGGGGCACCCAGGCACTTGGGGTCCAGCCTTTAAGGGGAATGGCTGCTGAGGGGGTAATTAGCTGAGGGCAGGGGGAGGAAGAGCACAGGGAGCAGGAGGCCCAGCCTGGCACATGGGGACAGGTGAGGAGCTTGAGTGTGCCAGTGAAGTTTCCCAAAGAGAGGGCCAAGTCCTGCTGCAGTGAGAACCCCTCCGAGGACAGTGGTCAGAGGAGGGCTGGCAGATCTTTTCCCCACGCCCCCATGACAGTCAGTGGAGGAGGGCTTCATGAGAGGGAGCTAGGGGCCTGAGAATGGTGGGGGGAGGACTGGCCATGTTCCTCCTCCTTATGGGGGCCCTGGGGCTGAAGATCCCTGAAGAGTGGGGGACAGGCTCTTGTCCCTCTTCTTGTCCCTCCATGGGGCCACTGGAGGGGGGTCTAGCCCTTGTTCTCATTCTTTCCCCCAACCCTGTGAGGGGCTGGGGCTCATGGAGAGGGGGTCAGGCTCTTGTTCTCTTTCTTGCCCCCCCCTACTGGGGGGATTCTGGGGCTTATTGAGAGGGGCCTGGAGAGAGGGGGTCAGGACTTAGTTCTCTTTCTTAACCCCCTGCCCGGGGGGTCCTGGGGCCAGGGCTCACCAAGGGTAATGCTGAGTGCCAGTGCTACGTTGGCGAACTCCAGTCCCTCCTGGGGCGACTCGAGTGCGGACAGCAGTGCCACCAGCTTGTTACACAGTCTCAGCTCCGCCTCCTGGTTCCCCGTGGCAACGGCCAGGGGCAGTGCGCGGTCCTGCACACAACGCAAGGTCAGGCTTTGCCAAGGTGCCCTCCCTGTCCACACTCCGCCTGAGAGCCTCGCCCCCACCCAAGTCACACCTGCCTTTCCACAGCTGCCCAGGGCCCATGGCTGTCCCATTTCACAGATGGGAAACTGAGGCCCAGAGAGCACAGGTATGCCAAAGTACCTCAGGCTGGGCCAGCGTGGATCTTGGGGCCCAACCAGGAGGAACCCAAGCTCTGCTGAGCTCACTCTCTGTCCACTTGACCAGGGGGTGGGGTGCAGTGTTCACGAAGCCCCACCCTTTGCAAGAACACAGGCCGGGCCTCATCCTGGGACACTCACTCTCTCCACCTCTCTGACCTCAGTTTCCCCCTTTGTAAGGGGATTGGGCCTCATCCTGGGTCCATGAATGTGCCTGGGTCCTTGGGACATTCCCTTTGTCCCTGAGCCGCAGTGTCCCCCTCTGTAAGGCCAGGGGTCTCTGCTGCTAAGCCAAATGGACTGTGGAGAGGCACGTGGTGAGCTAGTACTGTCCCTGTCCCTGCTGACCCTCACAGGCCAGGCTAAAATCCCAGTCAGTGCAAGGATCACAACCCACTGTCCTCTCTCATGCCCTCACCCATTAGAAGGTTACCTCCCTCTCAGCGTGTCACGATGCCCACAAACCATCCCAACTGAAGGACATGCCCAGAGCAGGTTCAGCCCGTGGCCCCTTCCGCACCAAAGGACACATCCCCAGAGCCACACACCATCCACAGCCTCTCCCACACAGAACAGGCTCCCAGAGCACAGCCCCTCCTACAGGACACGCCCCCACCATGGCCCTCCCACGGGACACGCCCCACAGCACAGCCCCTCCCGCAGGACACAGCCCACAGCAGAGCCCCTCCCACAACACGCCCCCAATCACAGCCCCTCCCACATGAACACAGCCCCACAGCATCACCCCACCCAGGCCACATCCATTAGAAGGACTGGTCCCCAGCCTGTCGTTATAGGACACTCCCTGCCAGGGTCCTCCCTGGTGGAGGACAGTCCCTACCCTCCCAGCAGCCCCTCCTCACCCTGTAGAAGGACACTGCCTTCCCTCGCTCCTGGCTCCCATTGAAGAAGATGTCGCCTGCTGCCTCAAACAGGTCCAGGCCCAGCTGGGGGTCTCCAGTGTACATGGCCGCATTCTGTGCCACCTGGGGGGCGGGGAAAGAGCGTGAGAACCCAGAAGTGCTCCCGATGACCTGGGTGAGGTAGTCCGCTGCCTAGCTGCCCTCCTGACCACTCTGACATGCTCAGGCCTTGGTGCCTGTGCTGGGGGAATGGAGACCCCAGAGAGAGATGTTCAAGTCCCAGCACGTCAGTGGTCTCTGTTGGTAAATTGGGTCCCTGCAGACACCATCAGCGAGGTGCAGGCCACTCTCTAGTGAGGGGTGGCTGCTAACTGCTGCCGAGTCGGAAGCCCCCATAGCTGACCCTCCACCCGGTATTCAGAGTCTGTCAACTGCCCGTGAGCAGGGTGTCTGTCTTCTCGCTCGGGGACGCTAGTAGGCGCTGACCTCCTCAGCTCCTTACCCACCGAGGCACCAGAGCTCCATTTACCCAGAGGAGCGGCGTCCATATACAGGAGACCAAGAAGAGGGAGGCAGAGATGACCAGCACGTGGCCAGCAGCTGAGGACCACTGCCCTGCCCTGCAGGCGGGTCCATGCGGACTCATAGGACTTTGGAGGGCAGAGCAGAGCTACCCACAGCTGCCCAGGCACAGCTCTCCAGGGCTGCATATCTTTGCAGGAGCAGTCTCCTCCTGCAAACCACCAACCTTCTGATTTGCAGTCAAGCAGTTTAATCACAGCATCACCAGGCTTCAACCATGTGTGGAAGCTTCGGTGATAAATGCAACCAGACTGCCCATCTCGGGGGCCATTCAGCTCAGCCGTGGTGCCCAGCCGTTTGGCCAACACCCCCTAGACATTGCTTTGGCAGCATCACTGTGATGGGCATGGCTTTACTGGCCTTCAGTAAAGCAGTTTCCCCACCATCAGGCTGGTGGGCCTGATCTAATCAGCTGGGGCCAAGAACACAATAAAGTTTCCAGCTAGAAGAATTCTGCGTGCGGACTGTATCTCAGCCCTGGAGGCTCAGGGCCGCCTTGGATCCATCCACACAGCCAGCCTGGAAGGCCCAGTCAGCGCTTTCATCAGCCTGAGGGCTCGCAGGCCCTGGACACTGTCCTGGGGCGGGGGGTGTCCAACACTGCTATTAGGAGAACAGCCCAAAGGTGGGCCTGGAACCCCTGCTCCAGGTGAGCAAGCTGAGGTCCAAACCACACATCTCATTGAAGGTGCTGGGCACTGAAGGTCCAGAGGTGGGCAGAGACCATGAGGAAACCAGGAAGACAGGGCCTAAAGCTCAGAGTCCACTACAGTCAGCACAAGTGAATGAATGAATGAGTCAGAGAATGAACAATCTAATCAGTGACTGGGTGACTGTGTGCAGGAAAGAGTGTGACTAAGGGAGCCCACAGTCCCACCCTGCACACACAGGCACCCTCTTGTCCCTCCCACCACACCTGTCCTGTCCCCTGCTCACACCTGTCCTGTCCCCTGCTCACACCTGTCCTGTCCCTTCTACCACACCTGTCCAGTTCCCT